TTAGGGTTTAGGGTTTAGGGTTTAGGCGCCGCCGGGGACCCGTTGGGCTAGCTGCAGCTTAACTTGCCCGCCCAGTTGAGTAGATGAATAAATAGAATAAATAAGTAGAATGAATAAATAGAATGAATAAATAGAATGAATACATAGAATGAATAAATGAATAAATATAATTAATTATATTCATTTGTTTTTCTGTTTTTGTTTTTAGGACGCGTGGGCATTGCCGGCCTTCAGCACCTTTGCTGAAACGATCAAAAAGGAGACAGAAGAGGAGCAGCAGCAGCAGCAGCAGCAGCAGCAGCTGCAGCTGTACGGTGTACGTACACCTGAAGTAGCAGAGGCGGGAGTGGCCAGAGAACTGCAAAGGCAAAAAGAAGCAAAAAACAAAGAAGCGTCAGTCTTCACTTTTATTTCTTTTCTATTTTATGTTTTTTTATTGTTTATTTATCTTAAATTTCATCTTTCAATTCTTTTTTGTTTCTTGTTTATCTTTTGTTTCTCCTTATTTCGTGTTTACTTCTCTTTTATTTCATTTTTAATTTCATTTTTAATTCATTTTAATTTTCTTGGTCTTTTTGCGGTTTTCTTTTTTGTTTTCTTTTCTCTCTTTTTGTCTCCGACGGCTTTAGGCTAGCAGCATTGCTGCTGCTGCTGCTGCTGCTGCTGGACTACGATTGCTCCTGCTGCTGCTCCTGCAACCACTGCTGCTGCTACTGAACTGCTTCTGCTGCCGCTGCGACAAAAATAGCTACTACTACTACCACTCCTGCTGCTGCTGCTGCTGCTGCTGCAGTTGGGGGCTGGGTGTCTTGCTGCTTGCGCTGCAGGCTGCCTTTTGTGTCTCTGACGGAAGAAGAGTTTGTGACTTCGGGCTCAGTTCCTTTTTCAGTTTATTTGGAATATTTGCGCTCTGGAGGAGGTTTGCTGCTGCTGCTGCTGTCGCTGCTGCTGCTGCTGCTGGGCTCCGTGCTGCTGCTGCTCTCCAACCTGCTGCTCTCCGCCTGGGCCGACAGAAAGCTGCAGCTAACTGATGCTGCTGCTCTTTCTCTTTTTGCTGCTCTCGGCGGACTCCATCTTCTCTTTTCTGCTGCTGGCTTCCTCCGTGTTGCTGCTGCTGCTGTTGCTGCTGCCAAACACTTCCACCACTCCCTCGTCCAAACCTTAATTGAGTAAGCGCCACCGCAAGCAGCAGCAGCAGCAGCAGCAGCAGCACAAGCAGTAGCAGCAGCAGCACAAGCAGTAGCAGCAGCAGCAGCAGTCGTAGTAGCAGTAGTAGCAATAGTGGTAGCAGGAGCAGCAGCAGCCAGCAGCAGAAGCAGCAGCAGCAGCAGCAGAAGCAGCAGCAGGAGCCTTCAGTCTCCTGGAGTTGCTTTTAGCCCCTCTTTTGTCTCCCTCAACAAAGCACTCAACAACTAATCACTAGCTAGCTGGCTAGCTAGCTAGCTAGCTAGCCAGCTAGCCATCTAGCTAGCTGGATTGCTAGCTAGCTCCCCATTAGCTAGCTGGCCGCCTGACTACCCATTAGCTAGCTAGCTAGCTAGCTGGCCACCTATTTATCCAGCTAGCTGGCTAGCTAGCTAGCTAGCTAGCTGGCCAGCTAGCTAGCCACCTGTGTATCCACCCATCCAGCCACCTCGCTAGCCAGCCCCCCCGCCCCCTTCCCAGCAGCAGCAGCAGCAGCAGCAGCAGCAGCAGCAGCAGCGGGAGGGTGTGTGGGTTTGCTGCAGCGCGCCCTTGAGCTTTTTCGACAGCACTCCTGTGGGGCGGGTGCTGCAGCGGCTGCTGCGGTGTATGTCCACCTTGGACGAGCAGCTGCCAGCTTCTTTGCTGTCGTTTTACACCACTTTGGTGACTTGCTGCTGCTGCTTGCTGCTGGTGGGTTGCTGCTTGCCTTTGTTTTTGCTGGCAGCAGCGCCGCTGCTGCTGCTGTACCTGCGGGTGCAGCAAAGCTTCGTGCCCACCAGCCGGCAGCTGCAGCGGCTGGAAGCAGCAGCAAAAGGGCCGCTGCTGTCTTTCTTTTTGGAGCTGCTGGAGGGCCGCGAGACAATTGCTGCGCTGCAGCAGCAGCAGCAGCAGCTGCTGCTCGCCCACGCCAAGGCCGACTGCAGCACGAAGCTGAGTTACTTGTCTTTGGCTGTGAACCGCTGGCTGGCGGTGCGGCTGGAGCTGCTGGGCGCTGCAGTGGTTGCTGCTGCTGCTGCTGCTGCTGCTGCAGCAAAAGGCGCTATTTCCCCAGGAGTGGGGGGACTTGCTGTTGCTGCTGCTCTCTCTATTACGCAGCAACTTAATTGGCTAGTTCGAATGGCAAGTGAACAAGAGTCAGCAATAGTTGCTGTTGAGAAGATCAACGAGTACAGACACCGGGTGGCCCCGGAGCGGCTGCTGCCCGCCTCCCCCGCTGCA